TACAGATGGTAAAACAAAGTCTTCTTCCTCCCAACATCAAGGGAACAGTCAGGGCAAAGGGATAAGACACAGGTGTCATTTTAGCTCCAGAGGGGAGAAACTGATACTCATTTCCTGCTCTTCAGCTTTAGGGTGAAAGAGCAGCAAGTCAGTTATGACTATTGCATATATCTAGAAACCCACATCCAGATCACTCTCTGAGGTCAGTGAGCGATGGTAGTTAATGCCACCACTAACTCTGCACGTTCACCCTGGGATCTCACAGTTGAGCAGGTTCTTCCTGCCCCGCTTAAGAAACAGCTGCAGGTCAAAGTCCCCTCTCAATTATTCAAACCGACCAGGCTCTACAAAGATCCCCAAGGACGGCAGAGCTATTGCTGCTGGCTATTTTGCTGGCAGTGCACAAACCAGAATAAAATCCAGTTACTTGTCCTAAGTCCTAGCAGACTCTGAGAGGTTAACTGCATAAAGCTAGGTCAAAACAGAGTACCACTACAGCCAGCAGCTCATCTTGATATGTGATAGGGGAAATGTGCTGATAAAATGAGAGTGGGGGGAACATTATCAAACATTTTAACTGCAGCATGTTAGGGCTTCAATTGCACAGTTAAAACCACTGCTAAGTTGCTCTGATTCAAATGGGTTGGTTTGCTCTAATGCAAACTTCAAATCAGATTGTTACAATCCCACAAAAAGTTTCTAGATAACCATTAAAAAGAAGCCCTCAAAATTAATAATTTTGATTGTCTCTAATGTCAATTGCCCCATTCAGTCAAGTTTCCTGTCAGTAACCTTCCTCTTCCTTCTTTTACCCAACAAGTTTGGGGTACATTTTAAAATTTGCCTGAGGTTGTCCACAGAGGCAGAAATCTCCCCAGATATTATTTCCCCATAATAATCCATGGGAGAGGCAATTAACAGAGATTCAAAATAGCATGTTCAAATAGAGGAGTTGGATCTCAACTACAACACTGCATAAATAGAAGAGAGAATCAGCTTGGCTTTTTTAATTCAACTGCTCACAGAACTACTTATTTGCCTTTAAATTAAACATTCAGTGAAGATAGCTAGTCTTTAGTAAAACTTTCCTCCTCTCTGGAGTAAACCTGCACTTTGCCAAGGCAACATCTGTGAGGAGAGGTCATGTAGTGCAGCAGACTAATGGCATAGTTAGAAAAGGAGAGACTGTCTCTTCGGCTTACACACCCAAGGCATGTCTCTGCCACAACAGGGCACTTGATGGTTGCCTGATGTTGCCCCAAATGGTACCAATGGTTTCCTAGCTCTCTATCTACACTTGGTAACCATTTTTGTGCCTCCATCTTCTCTTTTCTTGGTTTAAAATCTGACACACTTCAAGGACAACATGGGAAGACCTGCTCTCACGATAAATATTTTAAAATTAAAATAGCAAATGCCAGTGGCCAGACCCAGTTGGAGAAGCCAGCTTAGATCTGAATACTTTTTTTAATCCAACACCAAAAAAATTCTGAATCCAAGATTAATAATCAATTTAACATCAAGGTCCACTTTTTTCTTTCCCCTCCAGTTTACGGTGTACAGTGGTCCCTTACTCTTTCCTGGCTACTGCCACTTCAGGGAACCACAAAGCATGAAGGTGCCACTACTCTACCAGAAACCCCAGGGATTGCTTCACTTTGCACATTCGAATTGGTCCACTGCACTCAGGCTTGCCCTGGTCCCTGAGCACACATAAGTCACTGCAGTAAGCACCAGTAAATGAAAGTTTAACATCTGCATGATGCAGAGTTCAAAAGGCAAATGAACTTGGGGGAAGGGGATTACAAGCAACTAAGAGACATGGCTTAGGGTATGCAGCCTCTCTGTTAGTACAGCATTTTACAAATCCATGGAGAAGGGCAGCTCTGGAGACCAATTAAACCAGTTGTTGAAGCAAACTGAGGCATACTTATTTTAAGTGTCCTAATTTAAGGATACTCTCAGACTCTTCTCTAGTCCCTATGTCACATGCAGTGTAGGATCTGCTCTCCCAAGCACACCAACCTGCATAGCTTTGGAGAAAACTTACTGAAAACCCAGAAGGAACAGAACGCCCTCCCCATCCCCACTACCCTGTTGGGCACTGTTAGGGGTCCCTAAAGCAACGAAGCTCCAACACCACACATGGATGTCAAGGCACTTCCATGACTGAAAAGATTATACAGAGGACTAAGCACAGTTCTCCCCCTCACAGAATGAACAGAAGATCCAATACTCTTGATACACTTTTACTATCTTTTACTCTACTTAATCTCCCTTATGGGAATCATTCTGTTTGCAGACCCTAAAAACATCCAGTCCAGTACCACTACACAAAGAGCAGGAAGCCTCCTCCCCAGCTCAGCACAACCACAGGATGATCTTTGTAGTGACACAGAGAAACTGTGGACAAATCAAAGCAGAACACCTAAGAAAGATTCCTGAAGCCGGAGAAGCTGTGCTTCAAGAGCACAAGTCTCTGACACATTTGGGTGTACAAACACTGTCCATTAGAGCAGCAGTCCAGCAGTGCAGGACTATAGCAGACACAGCAGAAAACCCAGCTGTGGGTCAGGAGCACATAGGATACTTTGTAAGGAAGCTTCACACAGAGGAAGATATCACTGGAAAGCAAGAAAAGTTTCAGTCCTGCCCATTAACAGCTGGGGTTCAGTAAGAATACAACCCTGACTACTCTAGAGAGTCCTAGTCCCAGCAAACTTCCAGGTCAGGCAACTGCAGCCTCTCCAAAGCCATTTCGAATGGCTAGAGTTGGAGGAGCCTTCCCTGCTCCTACCCCACTGCACACAACTACTTTGAGCTGTTTCTGGTCTCTGTGTGTCCATAGTAGAGAGAGTTGGTGGGTTCTCAGCAGCAAAGGGCCAAAATACTTCGGTGGTTGGAGACTGATTCTACAGCAGTTCTACACCAGCAGAACTACCTGTCCTGATGGAGGAGATCTCAGTTTACATCAGGACAAGTGTGAAGAGAGAATCAGGAGAGCATGTCAAATGTTTAGGAGGAAATGGAGGTTATAGGCCATGTTCAGCCTCACTGAGGAACAAATGCATCCAAACTCTGGCAAGAAGGATGCGGACTGTAAGGGAAGAAAAGCTTCAGACTCAAGTGCATAGGGAATGCATATGGGTGAAATATGGGCTCTTGCAAATAAAACAGAAACCACAGAGCTCCCCAAAGCAGACCTTGCTAGAAACCAGATATTATCTTTTTGATATTCACACTCATTAGACAGCAAGTAATAAAACCTATTAGTGAAAAATTCATCTCCCCTGCCCCTTGCCCTGGCCCTCCCCCACCACATGTCCTCCTGCTCTGATCCTCTCTCTCTTCTAGGATGGCTGTGATTTGTTCTGAGAAGCGACAGGTTTATAGGTTAGCCGACACCTTCTCTCTGTGGAATTTTAATTAACTTCTCCCATCGTCAATATGTTAAGGAGCAGGGTTCCCATTATACGAGGTCAGCAGCGTGTTTCGGACCTTGCTATATCAGCCGTCAAATTGAAGAATTAATGACGTGGCTAATTGGCTCTAATTCTCCACACCTCCCTCCCTAAAATATGGAGGGGTAAGCGGGGGTGCAGTAGGATGGCCCAGTGGGAGAGGCTGGTACAGTGCACAGTCTCATAAAAAAATGAGAGTGCACAATTTAAGCTCACTTGTTCATGGGGTAGCTGTTCCACCACCTCCAATTTATCACCCTGCAGGGAGGAAGGGGGGTAGGGGTGGGGAGACTGAGGGTAAATATTGTGACAGAGAGTGTGCACAAGCATGCACACCAGGGAGAGGAACACTGTCCTGACAAGAGGCCACGGCAGTAGGTCATCACTTAGGAGTAGGAAGCAGCATGTCACTGGGCCCTAACCAGCCCAGTGGCCTGAGCCACAGCCTGTCTGCTTGAAAAGGGGCCCTTGCAGCACAGAAGACAGAAGAGGGCTTCTATCTCGCATCTTGCAGATCCACGAATGCACATGGCACTTCTTCAAAAACACTATCTGTCTCAAACACTCGGAGCAAAGAAACAAGGGAAGAGCAAAATCATAGCAAGGCTGGAGTGTCATTTCCCTGATAATGCCATCAGCTCTGTATCACTATGTTTCTGCTGCCTGCAAAACAAGCTTGGAGATCTAAGAACAGCAGTTGTGGGAAGTATTTTGGTTTTGCACAAGCCTAAAATTCAGTAGTTGCAGATATCACATTGGCAGCAACAACAGCTCTTCTTCCTCTCTTCCTCAAGCTACACCGAAGAAGAATCTCTCTTGCATGCAGAAGACCACCTAAACCAGGGAACCAAAGAGATACATCGTTGCTGGTCGGTGTGAGATTTTAAAAGTTAGAGTTTAAGTTTCTCAGATTCTCACTTCCTCAAGAACAGGAGCACTTTGAAAAACATCCTGGAAGATACTGCTGTATGTACTGTCCTTGCCTCCCATGCTGAAGTTGTAGTTGTAGAATTACACCTGCACTAGAAGCACAGAGATACAGACAATAGAGGCTGGAAAACCTCATCCCCGAACTCCACTTCATCTTTCCCAGTTCAGCCTGTTCAAAGAAAACTGAGCTTTAATCAATGCATACGGCTCTTAAACAGGGACCTTTTCGCTCAGCATCTCTTCTGCCAGAGAATGAGAAAACAAGTTGGCATCTTTTCAGCACAGAAAAACTCAAGAGGATCCAAGTCACTGCTTGCAATTAGCAAGTCAGAGCTCGTTCAGCAAGAAAGAATGAACAGGTCCCACCTGAGGTGCTAAGAGGAACACAGGGCAATCTTCACGGCCTCTTTATGAGTGGATCACTCCACTGTTATATGAAAAAAAGATCATATGCTCTTCCCTGAGCACCTGCTGCAGGCAGAAGCACTTCACCCAAACCAAGTCCCTGAACTGTCACATTGGTGTCTCAGAAAGATTTGTGGACGCACAGCCTACCCAACTCCTTTACTTCTCTCTGTTGGAAATTGGGAATAAAGAGATCTCAGTTACCTTAATAATGGGCTGATAGCAATGGACCACACTCGATCCTCTGTCTGCACTGTATGTAGACACTGACCAACTCTGCCCGCGGACAGGGACCAAACCTAAAGAGAGAGATGCATGTTATGCCACATCATCCAAAACTGCAGAAGGTAGGATGCACGCTGCTAATGTTGTGCTGGAAGAGCTGCCAAAATTGCCATGCCTACCCTCCCCAAGTTCCTCTCCCTGAATTCCCATTACTTATTTTTGAGGAGCAGAGCCTTCAATCACTGGCAGAAACATCTCAACTTATGAGAATGACGTTCCACCCGACTGGTTAGGGAGAGAGCACCCCCATCACCACTTGCTCTCTAGGGGCAGCACTCAACACAAAGTTATCACCTGCTGTAGTTAAATAAACAAGAAGTGGGATTTGTTCAAATATGTTCTCTTGAACAGTGTGGAAAGACTTTGTAGCACCTCTGAAAAATTTTCATTAATATTATCTATAAAATTAATTGTTCACCAGCCTGTAAAATAGTTTTCTTTTATAAATCCACCCCCTTCAGACCAAGTTTAAGTGTACCCCAGGCTGTTTTCAAATAGGTCCCCCTTGCTCACTGACAGTGTGAGAAAATCTCTTCCCTCCCCCATCAGTGTAAACATGCACATCCCCTTCCACCAGTTCACCCCTTTGTTTCTGGGTCCTAATAAAGGCCCAAAAATTCTTGCTGGAGCCTCTGCCTGTGGCCCTCATTTTCTCCACCTTGCCATCATTCTTGGCCCATGGGAGGCAAGCCCCCCCTTCTCTGTAACCAACCCCCAATGTTTCACTTCAAGACTTCAAAGCAGGGAGTGCCCTATTTGTTTGTTTGTTGATAATGCCCAGGATTGCAGGCTATTCTTGTCAGCGGGGAATTTAGCACCTAGTGTCAGCAAAAGCAGCAGAAAAGCTTAACTCCTTTAAGGCATCCCTATCTCCTACAGGTTAAAAATATTGCTCAGAGCACACTATCTGCTGCCTATCACACAGGAATGTACATTAGCAGCTCTTCAGGGCTTAGTCCTAATCAACACTCGGCAGAGCCCTCAATAGCTTAGACACTTAGAGCCCCTTTAAAAGGCTGGTAGGGATTCCCTTCCACCCTCCAAGAGTCTCATTCGTGCAAACAAGAGAGCATACAAAAGAGATGATAAAAAATAAGAGGTGAACATCTCCAGAACATATGCTGTGGGGAGCACTGGGTGGGCAAGATCTCACACTAGCTCCAAGGAAAACAGCCTTAAATTCCCCTCTGGCCTTCAGGAATTTGTTCTCAAGGTCGGGGATGTCTGTCCTCCAGCTGTCAGAGAAGTAGCAAAAAGGAATTTCCCAGAAAAGAGGCTCCACAGACCGGAGAGGAGCAGCCCTGTTAAAGTGTGAGACAAAGCAGCATCAAGGCCTTGCTCCCAGGAGGCAAACAGCATTCCCAGTAGTGCCTTTTGCATCTGAACACTGCTTTACTTGGGAGTGATTTTATCCAGGAGTACATCTGTACAGAAGGACAACAAAAATAAATAGGGTCATGCTGCTTAGCAGCCTGTCAGGTAGTTACCCATTTCCACATGCTTCCTACAAAACCTTGAAAGAGACATTTAAGTCTTCCTTTGCTCCAACTTCCTCTCTTGCAAAAGAGGAATAGCTGTTTTTCCTCTAACCTCTGTCAATGCCCTATGAGAGGAACTAGGGACCAAGAGTATTCATCAGCCTACCCTGAGCAAAAGCCAAAGTTTTCAACATACAGCAAACCAAGAACCATTAAAAAAACCCCAACAACCCAGACAAAAAAACCCCCACCACAAATAAATGAACATTATTTAGGAACATAGGAAAAGACATCATGCTATCCTTTACAGAGACTGAATATGTATCAGAGAGCAAGTTAAACCACACTGTACCACAAAGCAAGGATGGGTTTGAGACACATAGAGCAAATTTCACATTAAATGGCACAGATCTCCACTACAGTGTAGACAGATATACAGTGAAAGAAGCAAAATATCAGCTTCTGCCTTCTGCATGTCCTAGTTTAAGCCAGCAGCTGATGTTGTAAACCCCTGCCAAATTTCTTCCTTAAAAGCCTGGCACAGCAAGCATCTTTTCAGAGACATGAGCCTATACTAAGATAACCAGTGCTCCTCCTGCAAGGAGTACAGGCTCACAACAGTTCTGCTGACACTTAAATATTCATGGCACAAGACCTCTGAAGTCACCTCTGCAGCAGCACCCGCAGCTGCTGAAACATCACTGCTCACCTTCGCTGTTCGGTCCCGGGAGCCACTGACAATGAGGCCACCTTGGAAATCCACACAGTTCACCTCCTGCTCATGCGCAGAGAACTTGACACTGTAGGAGCCATGGATCTTGTGAAGGACAATACTTCCATCCCTGAAAAACAAATCACCAAACAGAGAGTTTGTATTAGCTGCATCTCCCCTGCACACGCACCTTTCACTAGCGCTTAAGAGCGTCACAAAAAGACCAGGACTGGTCTCTCGTAGAAGCTGAAATTCATGTAGCATTATTAACCCTCCACCCTTCACACATCACCTGTTCTCTTGTGATCCCACATCTGGCCAGTCAAAGCCTGATCTGATGCACGTGAAAATTTTCCTGGCGATCTTTCCACCTTCCACTTTGTGTTAAGCTGCAGAAACTAGCAGAGCAACCATTCCTCCTCCTACTACTTTGAGCTTGCCAGAATACTATCTGTATGCTGAATGGTTGGAGTTAAGGGAACAAGTTAGAGGACATTCTCACCCACGTCCAAGTCTCGGCTTTTCATTCATTTCAGAGCAGCCATGTAGGGTGCTGTACTTTGAATTGACTACACAGACATTTAGACTTTTTTCAAACAATACCGTTACTGGAATTTTAAATGCATGCCTTCATTTTCACCTGAATTTTGGGCTACAGTTCATGGGGGAGAGTCTCACCATATCCAGGGCAGACAGCCATGCTTGTCTCTCCCAGCTCCGTGCTTAACCGCTGTGTATTTTAATGGCTATAACTTTATAAGCAACACGTCTGTCATTTGCTGTAGCTGAAAAAGGCCAGTCAGATGCAAAATTAATTGGAGAAGTGTGTGTATGCTGGAACGCTTGGCAGTTTTCCCCCTCTCCACAATTATATCAGTGGATCTAATAAATATATACTTGTCCCTAGAAAGCTTTCTGCACCATTGCAGTCCCAGCTAACCAGCAGTACTGATTATTAGAACAGTCTTGCTACCCCAACTCTAACAGGGAAAGAAATGAAACTTGCACATCAGTCAGGCGTGCAATCATTCAATCCCGATTCAACATCCTGTGGATGTTTATACAAGTTCAAAAGAGAAAAGGACACTTTATAAGGTCAACAGCATGAGACTAAGCTCCTTCACTGCTGTAGTAGAAGCTTTTCCAGGACAGAATCAAATTATAAGAGAGGAAGCAGCAGCAGTTGACCACAGCCAAGCATGAGGACACTGTGTAACAAGACTGGCCCCTCTGCTCTGGGCTGGAGTTACACAAAATCTTTCCAACTTCAGTGCCACAATCCTTGGGCTCCTTCATTCATGCAACTTACCCCCCTCCGCTGACGATGTGGGAGTTGACAAGAACGAAGCGACATACGTCCTCCTGGTGGCCAGAGAAGATGGCTTGAGGGTGACGCTGCAAACCTGTACCCTCTGGACAGATGGGGTAGGCCTGGATGTTCTCTGCTTGAGACAGGTAGAGATACTCGCCATCCAGCTCCATCCACGGCATCAAACTGTAAATAGAGAGCAGGTTGAGGGCATGCAGGAGTGGGGAGAAGAAAACAAAACAAAACAATCTCACACGCAAAATAAAAATAAAAGACTGCATATGTAAATATATGAAGAAAAACAAATGCCCACTCAAGAAAACTGAAGTTGGAGTTGCAGGTCACATACAAAAGCAGACCTTCTCCAGCAACATAGGAAGCAGGTTACATTGCAGGCATTTTTCTAACCAAGAGCTGAGGAAAAGGAAGCATGGAATCTCTGAAGGAGAAGGTGGTCAAAAGTCTAGTGAGGTTAGACAGGAAATAGTTAAGGGTCCCTGAGCTTGCACATGAGCCCTGTACTTTTTAAGAAACTAGACTCTCAGGCATTGGTGAGCTGTGCTAAGCACTTCTGACAGAGCCTTCAATATGAGGCTGTTGGAGGTATTTTTCTACAGGCACACCTCTTCCACTGCTGAGCCAAAAGGATTATTTATTCTTGAAACAAAACCAAAATACAGAAGAAAACAGGCTACAATGCACACTTAGGCAGTCAGACCTTTGCTCAAGATCTTGTTTTTGTGTAGCCGTCAGAGAATCAGCAAATAAGATTTCTGGATATAGCAAGGCCAGATACAAAGAGACCTGAGGCTCATGTCCTATGGGGCATGGATGCATGGAATTGTCTGCACTCTGCAGCCACTGCTGAGTGCACCAACACCCACAGAAACATTGAGCAAAACCAGCTTTCAAGCTATTCAAGAACAAACTGTTTTGAAAGCAGGAGGGCTCCTCATGAAAACCTGTCTCCCTCTTTTTTTAGATCATTCATCCTCAGAGGTCATGCTTTTCTGCGTCATCAGAGCCACTACATGCAGCTGTACCTCACAGCATCACAATGAACAACCAGAGACAAGCAAGAGGACAAGACTGCTCATTAGACAGAAGGTTCCTGCTTGCCTGTGTTCATCTCCAATAACAGGCTTTTAGTCACACGGACAAAGTAGTTGAGTTTATAGTGTCCATCTGGGACTTGATCATATGCATGGAAAAAAGAGGCATCTTTAGAGCAGCAGCTTTGGTTTTAGGCGGTCTTTGATTTCCTCTTCCTTCCTCCACTCCTACACATCCTCTAAAAGCAAGTGAATATCCAGCTTACCTAGACTACAGCCAGTTTCTGTGGCTCTCCTTTTGCTGCAGTTTAGCTTTTTACCTTTTTCTATGGCTTTTTCATAAGGAGAAGTAACAAATCTGAAGCAGGATAAATGAAAATTGGAGGATGCCATTTGGATGGTGGCCTCATTAAATCAGTCCTTGCCTTTTCACTTGGGAAGCTGGTTTAGTAATGATCTCTAACATCCACAGAGCCTGTCTTCACAGATGGTTGCAAGCACTTCAAAGGCAGGTATACAACCTGCACCAAAATCCACTCTGCTCATTACAGCTGTTCCCAGGACTTTAGAAAAGAAGTGGCACATTATCCATCACTTCAATCTACACAGCACAAAAAGGCATGAAAGCTCAGTAGAAGGTCCCTGTTCTTCAGCAGCTAACAAACCATAGTCTTTCTCATTTTTCCTTCAGTCTGATGATGAGAAGGCTGAAAATTTACATGTGCTGTTCAGACAAGAGACCTATCTTATGCTTTGCTTTGAAAGCCGAATATACCTTTGCAAACAAGAATTTAACAATGATCCCCTCTCATTAATGTCAAATATACTTTTTTTTTTAAGTGAAGGAGAGGAGCCTAAGGTATCAGAATGAAGAGGCATAAGGCCAAAGAATGTCAATTAGCATTTTAGATTTGTACATCCAAATCAGGACCAGGAAAAACCACAGGAAAAAACCCAAGTATTTTGAGGGGACACCTAAGTCCACATCAGGGATCAAGGTATGCTCATTGTGAGAGCAGGACAGAAAACTGCTCATGGAATACAGCAGTAGATATGAACACAACAGTTCAAGTCTGTAGTAAAGATTGCTAAATCCAAGTAAAACTGTACAGATCAGATCAATTTCAAATTACTCAGCATGAATCCTTAGGTCAAGGCAGCAACTCTAGTTACCCCACATCCAGCTGGCCAGCAACAGCTAAAATAGGCCAGCAACCCTATGTAGCACAAGGAGTAGAAAACATCTCATTTCAGGGCATGGGCACAAACCCAAGGCCCCACAGCAGCGGTCACAGAACAAAGATGAGGAGAAAGAAGCCACTTGCTTGCATTTCCATTTCAGGACTGTCTCCCTCCGGCAGCGTCCGTGCCTCCAGTTCTGAGATACTTTCACCCTCTCCTTCACTGGAATGCCAGCAGCTCTGCAGACAGAGGAAGAGAGATGAGATTAGCAAACAGGAGTGATGCTATCTGGACAACAAATGCACTCGAGCTGGTCACAGGTAAGCTCTCACCCTGGTTCCACAAACCATGAACTGGCAAATGCTGATGGTGCCAGAGCCACACCACAGCAAGCGCATTCATGAGAGCTGAGAAGAAAGGAACACTGAGCAGAGTGGGGGATTATTAGCACAGAAAGTCACTTCTGATGATCACTAGTGTACAAGCCTTAAGTCTGATCAAGACTTGATCAACTATACTGAATGCAACACAGGTTCAGACAAAATGTAATCCAAACAAGATGACACAGAAAAGAACTACCAAAAGAACCAGTACATCACTCTTTTAATAGAGACTAAAAAGAGCCAATTAAGGACAACACCACACAAGAAAAGATGGAGGAAACACTAGTCAGGAGAACACTGAAACTGGAAGCCAGAGGAGTGTGTCTATCCAGAAGGACTAGCAAAGAAACTGCTCCAGAGTCTAACCTGTCTGACAATCACATAACCAGATACAATAATCAGAAATCAAGATGTCTTCAGACTAAAGATAAAATACATTCGTCTGTATAAACCACCCAATGCAGACACACACCAAGACAAGCTATCTTTTGCAGCTGCTCACCAAAGGATAGAGAATTCCAGCACATCACTGGAAAATTCTCTACTTACAGTCAGACAAAACTACTAAAAGAGAGACTACAGTTTTCATAAGCCGTTGCTGGGATACAAATCAAAGTTATTGGGATGAGCTGAAACAAACCAAAAATAACACAGTTCAAGAAGTGACAAAAAGTAGGTACCACAGAGACCTGGGACGAAGGTCTCTTTAGAGTCTACATGAACATACCCAGTTCAAGCAGCTGTTCAATACCTGGTTTGCTTCAATGTTCCACAGTTGATGAAAGATGGAGAAATAGGCAGCTTTAGCTCCCATTTTTCTCATATCAAAATTTAATTATTCCATATCCTTGGTGGAGCTGCTTAGGTAGAAAAAAATCAGAAAACTACAAACAAGAAGAAACTCTTGAAGTTATCCTTCTTAACTAGGAGTTGTGAACCACTTCCTAGACTGTAAGAGTTTATCCCCCTTTCATGCATTTCTCAACAGTCAGTGTTCCCAGATGCATAGGATGAAGGGAAGATCCTTAAGAGATGGGAATTGGTGCCCGATCAGAACCAGTTCCCTCCTCCCCTCCCTGTAGTCCCCTCAGTCCACTTCCCAAAAGTGGCATTTTTGGGTACTCTGTCATTTTTAAAACAAAGATTAGCTCCCTGTAAATAAACATCTCCTGTGGTTGTTAATGGGTGTAGGAATCTCTAACCTGGCCCTGGGGTCTGGCCAGACTCTTATTTTCCCAGCCTTCCTTCCATAGCCTCAGGCTTCTTTTTCTCTGCTCACCCTTCCCTCCTCTTTTCTATGCTTTCCGGCACTTAGTCACCATTATAATTTGACTGCATTCCTGGGCATGTGACCCATTTTAAACAAAAACAGAAACCACACACAGAAAAGCTTTTCGTCCCCTAGAAAGCCATGCAACTTTAACTTTATGATCAGTAGAGCCACACCAATTAAAACTGAATTTAAAAAGCTACAAGCTCTTTATTTCTCATAGCCATTGAAAAACAAACAAACAAACAAAAAAAGCAAATAGAGAGTCAGCCTAGGCTGCAAGAAGAGGAATTCCTTTTTTAAAGGGAGCACTTGCAGGAGCTCATGGGGCCAGATAGTGTCTGAGATGAGGAATGCACAGCACTGAAAAGTCAGGTCAGGTCTACTCTCCTCATTGCTTATTACTCTCCCAGACAGAGTTCAGGCTCTCCGCCTACATCCAATTCCATTCATTACTCCAAAACACTTCTCCTCCCCACACTCAACCCCCAGTTAAGTTCTCCCCACGTACAGATTTTAAGTCACCAGCTTACACAGTGATGGAAAATGCACTCACGCCACAACCCCCTTCCAACACGTGCTAGCCCAACCAGACATCCTGAGCTCAGTGCACAAACCCTACTAAGACTAGATGGAATTTCCAAGGCTCTGAAAAAGGTGAATCCAAGGTCAAAAAAGCAGCCTCCATCTTACACTGCTGGTCACTTTTCTGGCTGGGAGGCAGGCCTTGGTCCTCCTGCTGCTGAAAGTGGAATTTCAGAAGAGTCACACGTTGGCTTGGCTCAGGGTACCAGTTCACTACCATGCTTACTCCTGCAACAGACACCTCATTCTTCCACAGAAATCAATCTCCTCAATCTGGAAGGGCTGAGGGTTGTGTGGGGAGGACTATTTGGGGGGAGGTCTGGTGGGGTTTTGGGAGGGTTTGGTTTGGTTTTTTGTTTGTTTTACTGTTAATAGATATTTTATTCATCCAGCCTGCCTCCTCCATATCACAGCTCTGGATCCAGTTAATTTAAACATGTCTTAAAAGTATCCATCTTTTGTTTTCCAGGCATTTTATTCAATCAAAATAGAGGCAAGAAAAGGGACATATGGAGAAAGTTGATGTAAAAATTGGACTGATACATCCCTCCCCTTTGGCAATGCCAAGGCAGCAGAGACTGAACTGCAATGATTTTCAAGTGCTGGTCAGAGACATACAATCCCCTATACCAGAAGAGAAGTTAAATGGAGCCCAGCGATGGAATCAAGTATTGAGATACAATTTGATATTTGTTAATAATTTTATATTTTATTTGATTCCTCAACAGCACCCCCCACAGTAATTCCCAGGATACAAAAAAAATGTGATGAGAATCACTGCAATGCATGAGAACAGTTCTCAAATCTTAGAAAGTTAAAAAAGGCATCACCATATAAACTTAATAATTTGATTGGAAATTTCCTTTTCTCCCCTACAAGAAACTATTTTGCTTCAATCATGATCAACACACTTCCTACACATAAAAACTTTTAAGAATTGTTCCATGATAGGTAATCAACAGACATCACACATCTAAACACAGTGGTTGACTTAACCGTGCCTCTCACTTCAGCAACTGTGCTGAACACCCAAAGATTCAGGAGACTAAACCACCTTATGAAGCCAAATACTACATAAAATGCTGGGAAGGGACTACTATCCACTGGCCAGTGAATACTTTGACCTTTCTTAGTTTGCAATCCAGCAAAATACTAAGCCACATTCCTAAAATTCAGTACACGCATAAGCGCTCTGTGAAATCAAGATCTTGGCATTCATGTTCCCAGAGAAGCCACCCAACAGGGAACTTCAAGACTGCTGAAGGCTGACTCACTGAGGAAGGACTGCTATTTTTAGCAGGACCTACGCAGCCCTGCATCAGAAAGCAACTGAAGTACAGTCCAACATCCTAGAAACATAGGATGGAGGAACCAGTGAACACTGAATGTGAAAACTCAATGAAATTCAAGAAAAATGTTCTTAAAACACACTAGTGTGCATCATCTTACACCTTTGCTAGGGCATCACAGTATCAACAGCTGATAAAATTACATGGCAAAGAACACGCAAGGCTACCTTTGTTATTACCTAATTAATCCAAAAAGCACTCTGTTGGGATCCCAAACCATACAGTGCAATATTTGACCTGACCTAACGTGTGTTTCCCGTTGCACGCACTCCTGATGGAAGTTCCCCTTACAAAGACTCCCTTACGCTAAGAAAGAATATTTCTCACAACCTGAGAGGGAGTTCCAGGAGAAAAATCATCCCAAGCAACCCATTACAAAGGATTTTTCATTTCCCCCTTCCTACCTCACCCCACCATACAAAAAAAAAGCTAAATGTATTTTGCTCAAATTATGAATTTCCTCTCTTTCTTGGCAGAGTTGCCAAAAGAAATGTAATATTCCTTCTGGAGTCCATTTCCCAGCTGCTGAAGTGAGAGACTGGGACTGTCCCCACACAGCACCACTGATGCAGGTGACTTCAGCCACCATGGCAGTTGTTGGTCTGGGCCTCAAAAGAAAGCAATGAAAGAATCACTCAGCCAGAGTCCAAGCACATTGCCTCCTAAAGCTTCATATCCAACAGATTTTGCCTTCATTTATCCCCTCCTCACACAAAGTCCTTTGCCATCAGAAATGGTATTTCTGCAATAGCGAGAGCTTCTGCACTTCACTGCATCCCAGGGAGATTTCTACTGGCCATCTACAATTTCAGCATATGCCAAAACAGTGGTGCCTGCAACAACACATACTGTGTTACAGAAGGTAACACCGACATGTCATACCGTGTATTTTCCCAGCTGCATGGGGCATCCTAACCCAGCAAAATCCTTCACGTTTTGCTACATTTTAACTACCAAAGAGCTCATCTGGAAATGCAAATCTGCAGAGACCTGCTGAGACTGAATTTCTTCCATGGACAAAATCTGTTGTCTACATAAAGGCTGTCACCGGCCTGCCTCAGGCCTGACTGGAAGGGTCATACAGAGAACAAACAGGTCACAGTGGCTAAGCCTCACTTTCAACCTTGGCCCTGTGGCAAGGGTGGCTAACACAAGGACCAACTGTGCTTATTTGTGTAATTGGGACACACCTGTTGAGTGGCAGGGGCTCAGTGCAGCCACAAGTCACAGGCCACCAACAGACAGCCGAGAGGGAAAAGCTATTTATGTCAGAAGCTCCTGTTGCTGTCCTCAACAGGTCGGCTGGCTTTCAAAATGTCTCTTCCAGGACAAAAATTCCAACTGAATTCCTTTAGCACATGACCCTTATTTAGCTTACTGCCACGTTCAGCCTGTCTTCTGTGCTCCCCCCCTCCCTACGTGACACAGGCTCAAATAACTCCAAGACAGAAGAAAGTTCTACTGACTGTTCTCTTGCTGTTCCTTCCCTTCTCTAGTGTGTCTATGCCATCTCAGACAGTACCAGGCTGTGCAGGTCAACTGCTCCACCAAAAGCTCTCACGAACAAGTCATCTCATGAAAAAGAGACTCTAACAATACCTAGGGGTGCAGACAAATTTCTGTACACACAGTAAGGACACACACCTTCACAC